TTGTGACTTGAACCATGCATTTCTGCAGTGAACTGACCAACCAAAACCAAAGGCTGCAGAAGCAGCTGCAGAACTGAAGCCACAAAGACTGGAAATGTGGGTTTGCGTAGGAGAATGCCCCCAGCAGCACTGGCTGCATGGATGAACGCTTCCAGATTTTGGTGGTGTTCACAGTGAAGAACATTTGATAGCTCCTTAAATCCTGTTGCTTAAATTCAAAAGCAGTGTTACAATTCTTGAAGAGTACTCTGGGAAGTTTTAGGAGATTTCGCTTTTCCAAGGTTGTACGCACAGGATGTGGGACAGTGAAGCACTTTATAGTTCTTGGGACTGGGATAACCAACAATAAATAAAGGCAGCCATGAAGTATATGAAAAATTCACCCTTTATGCATTATTTACAGTAGAGAGGAAAGGAGAGGTCACAATTAGTAACAGTTCGAAGTAAAACTGTTTCAATATTTTGTATTTTTCCTACCTCTCTTCATAAAATTCAAATCAGGTTTTCTACCTGCTGGGACCTTCAATCAGGTCATTAGAAACAAGCCAGCAGTTAGGAATCTATTTATTCTACATTTTAATTTAAAATTGCACTTGCATAATTCTCCAAAAGGGTTGGAGCCTTTGTGAAACTTACTTCAATCACTTTTAGTTTTATTTTCCAAAAGAAGTCAGGTGATATATCTTTACATATCTTCCTGATTACATCTCTCCATACAGGCGAGAATTAGCATTTCCTTCCCAACCTTCCCTTGTCTTTTGAAAATACCAATAGGTAATTTTACCAACTTAGATAAGGAATTCCATTATAACTGGGAAGCCAATTATCTGTCAAGACGTTATTGCAGTACTACAAGAAAACTGGATCCTTAAGCAGCAGGTAATTTTTTTCATTATTTCCTGCATCACTATCGTGCTCTCTGTTTTGATTAGATCCTAATGATACCAAGAATGTCTTAAACAAATACTCAGCCTGCGCAAACGAAAAACATTTTGCTTCTTCAGTTGCACTTGTGCATCAATGGTAATTAATACATCTTGGGATATTCAAACTGTATCTGATTAAATCACAGTGCACCAAAGAGAGCTTTATAAATAATCTTTCCATGAACCCTGCTGAGAGATCTGGGGGAAAAAAGGAAGAGTGTTAAGCAGCATCATTGTGCCTAAAGGTGCGTAGCAGCCATGAAGTCACCTCTTTAGATTCCATTGCCCATAACCTCGCTCCTGTCCTGGACGACCTATGATGAACAGGAACAACTTGATTTTTTATCATTCTAAAGATGGTAGCAGCCTTTGCAGTTATGGGCTTGGCAGACTGGCCAACTCCTGTCCAACAGTAACTCTCTTAGTTGCTTTACTTTGCCATTATGTCTTGTCATGGTAGATGCCAGCCTCTCCAAAAGAGCTGTCCCAACACCAAAGCACATGCAGTCTAAGCCATCTATCCCTAGTATGACCCTCATTGGTTGGTACTAGTCATGAACTCTGTTACAGGTTTGTTTTATAACAGTCCACCTAAAGGATATGCCAAGGAATATCTGCTTGGAATAAGCCACCATGAAGAGCTGTCACTTGGGGACCATCGCCAAGCTTACGTGCAGGTAGCCTTCAGGATAAAAGAACCTCATTGATTAATTGTATTGCCAATCCCTTACCTCAGTGATGTAATATTTGCAAGTCAGAAAGAGAAGTTTGTTTTGGTTTTGAATTAAACATGTTTTCACTTCGCCAGCGCCCTTTCTGAAGGCTGAGATTAAGGCCCCCATCAAAGAAGGGATACATTTTGCAAGGAGCACTGCCAGCATAACAACAGCAAGAAAAAAAAGATCCATTGTGTTGTTTTGCGTGAAATCTGTTTTTCTTCATTCCTTTTACAGGAACTTGTTGTAGCTACATGAGTTTAGAGGAAAGAGATCGCTGTTTTTCACATGATGTATTTCACATTTGTTAGGCAACCGCTCTTTCCCCCTTGTCGTCAGCTTCCCCTTGTTGTTTCCATGGCTCACTCCTATAGCTGCAGGAAGCAGGTTCATAAAAATAGGAAAATGTGGTGTTGAAATGGAAAAAACATAGGCAGGATAGCCAATGGGCTGGGGATACTACTCAGATTTTAAGGTTTCCAGTGTCTGTATTAGCGTAAGAGCTGTCCTCTGTTGCTCTCCGTAGTGGTTCTTGACTGGATGGTAAGCAGGCACTAGCCTTGAATGCTGTGTCATTTGCAAACCTTCATTTTCTGTGTGTGTTTGGGCATGTCAGCAGCCTTTGATGATTTATTAATAACAGATTATACTCTTTTTAAGAGGTGTTTTCAAGCTTCTGGCTTAGATGAGGGAGTGGCCCATTTACCTCTGCAACCACCCATATCTGTCTAACCCAAATCACTCCCAACTCCTTTTATAGCATAACCACCAAGAGCTGGCACAGAATCCCTCCCCAGTGAAAGGCTGTGCAGAAGAGCATCCATCATTCTTCCGGGGTGGCTCAGTGGTCTCCGTGTCAGGTTGCACACGAGCATGTGCATGCAGCCTGGCTGGACCTGCAGACCTGCCTGTGGGGTGAGCTGAACCTCAGTCATGTAAAAAGGCTTTCATGTTGGAGATCTTGGGAGGCAATGCCCTGGTGCTTTGTCATTGGTAGACTTCCCTGCCTGCCTGTCTGGAGCACCAGAATGAACGCCTTCTATCTGTGTTTTTTTTTATCCCCTTTGGAAGGCAGTTTGTGCAGGCAGAGTGTTGCAGTAAGTCAGCATGAGCTGCAGCAGAAGGTCTCCCAGTAGACAGGGAAAGGAAGAGACTTGATTCAAGGTAGTAGATTCAGTTTAGATGTAGTTTGTTGTTCAAGTTAACCATGTAGGAGCAGTACTCCTGAATACTCCTTCATGAAAAACAGAGGAAAAAGGAGAAATAGAGTAAGAGGTACTGAAACACTACAGAAGTGCCGGGGAACCAGTCTCCATTTTGCTGTTCCCAAGTTGCACCTTCTCACTGCTGGCGCCTGTGTTAATGCTTGCTACAGAGCATAAAAATCTTGGATCTCTCCATGGATTTGCTGTGGGAAAATACTTGGGACATCAAACATGGACAATTTTTTTAATGATAGCCCCTGGCAATTGCAGCTCTAGGAAGGAATTTTGCAGGGAGCCTGGGCTGGAACTGGCATTGCTGTCCATCACTGTACTTCATTTGCATTTCTGAAAATACTTTGGTTGTGGTTAAGTAACTGATAATCATGTGCAGGTGGTGGGGTTTGAGTGTGATCTTCATTACTTCTGGCAGGGAAGGGGAAAGATATCTTTATGAGTAAATACTTCTTTCCTGAACTTAAATGCTGAGATTCCATCTTTGTGGGAAAGAGTTTCTTTTCTCAGCCCAGGGTTCAGATCTACGACTTGCCCTTTTTTGGGGGACACATACTAAATACACTTTTAAACTCACAATATGCCCAGGTGTTCATTTTCTTCTTTTTCTTTCAGCTCTGGAGCTGTAAGTAATTCTGGACTCATTCCATCCACCTGGTTGAGTGCTTTTTTCTTGATTTCTATTTTTCTCCCTCTCTTTCCCCATCTCTCTCGTGTTTCATTTCCTAAGCATTTCTGCCAGAACAGCTTTTTATTTCAATCACCTCTGGGAATGGAGTGGACATAATGAATTGGGTATTTTATATGGGCTCCATGGGGGAATCAGGTGTGTCAAGAAAGTGATACTGGGCATCACGGAAGCCGCACTCCGAGCCCATGCAGTAGGCACAGGGCGGCTGGCTGCCAGCACAGTGCAGCCAAGGGGTGGAACTGTGATTTCTGCAATTGCTTCTGGTCCATAAAGCAAGCACAGGCCCATCACTCGGCTTCTCTGCAGTCTGGTTGGGGAATATTTTCAGGAGCAGAAACGTAGCTGCAGCGGAGATCTGTACTCTGCCATCCTTGCTAATCAGGATGGCTGATGAAACATTTATTTGTCAGGGCTGGATGTTCAGCTAAATATAGGAATACATCAGTGTGAAGATGAACATCAAGGATCTTGGCACGGGATAATGTTAGTGAAATGCAGATGCAATGAATGTCTCTTGTCAAACTCTTATCCTCCCGTGATCTGAAGAGGCGCTGGATGGGTGTGATTCACTTCTGTTTGTTAGTTTGCTGTGTCCCATGTTGTTGCTACCTGTATTACTGTTCCATCCTCAGCCCCAGGCGTGCATCAGGGCTCCCTAAGAATCCTGAAGCAATGACACACATTTGCAAGAAATTATGTTTTCTGGCACTGGGACAAGAAAAAGTCTTGCCCTGAACTCATTTGTCTAAACTGCTGTTGAGAACTTCCATGAAGTTTGTATCACAGCAGGTTTAGGATGCCTTTGTTCCAGTGTTTCATTACCCTTAATACTGTTTACTTTTTTTTCCACTGGATATCCAAATAAAATGCATTTTCTTGCAAATGGAGACTTTTTGTCCATCTGCCATTTGATGCAGTCATCTTCAACTTTATTTTTTCTGTTTTAAGTTTTATTCAGTTTTGCTATTTATATTTTTACTTTATAATCTTCTTTTATTTTAAACTTGGTATATAATAGAATTACCCTTTAGTCACTGATTAAATTTCTTAAATCTCTTCTGACTTTTGTTCCTCCATTCAGGGGCTGGGCTGTTTTAAATCTGTCTGCTGCTGTATCTGTCTCCAAATGTATTGTCTGAGCCTGGACACAGGAATGTGGCTGAGGTCTCACAAGGGCTGAATAAACACAGCAATCATCTCCCATTTCTTATGTGTGCCACTCTTCCTAAAAATCAAGATTTGGGGTTTTTGTTGTAACGGCGTTGCTTTGTTGACTCATGTTTATGCTGTGATTTGCCCTGACCCTCAGATTCTCATTCCTTGTTTTGCATTTGTGCGTCAGTGTTTGCTTCCAAAGTATATTACTTACTTTGTTAATTACCTCTTCTGAGTGCACCGAGTTCCTTGGATTCGAGAGTAGCTCGTATTTTCCCGTGTGAAGGTTTCCCCCCCCCCCTTTATCCTTGCTCTTTCTTCTGTTGCTATGTGAAAGAAAACACACAAAACAAAGAAACTGCCAGATATTCAGATGAAATGGAGAAGCTCAGAATATACAAAATAAACGGGGTGAGAAACCAGAAAATGATTTTTTTCTTTCCCAGCAGCAGTAATTGTAACTGTATTCTTAGGAATAGCAGGAAACAGATACCAAACACATAATTTTAAAGAAATCAAGGGTAAATTGACAGAGTACATTAAAAAAAGAAAAAAAAAAAAGGGAATAAAAAATGAGTCACAACAACAGGGAAGGGACTATTAGATAGAGTGCTTAGTATTTCTGGGGACAATGTTATGATTTAGTCAGCTAGAAATGGCCATAGCAGCTTTTGTAAATATGATGGATAGTGGAATAATTCATGGTTGACTTTCATTTTTCAATTCAGATATGTTTGCACATGAATTACCGTTTGTCGTGGGTATATTAAAACGTCATCTTATGGGATAAATAGATAGATCAATGCATTCAATGTTAATCATGTCTTCAGATTTATTTTAGCTGGGAATTGTGAAGCTGAAGCCTTCTAAACAGACATGTTCCTCAGTAATTTGGGTTTTTCATTCAGCCAGGAAATTGGGGAGTTAAAGTGGGTTGCTAATCCCATTTCATTGGGAAGGGAAAAATTGGGGTGGGATGAGCTGATTCCAGTCCAAATGTTTTGAAATTCACCAAGTGGATGGTGAGCCCTCAGTTTGCACTGCCTGATACCGCAGGGTCAGTGTTATTGGCCAGTATAAGCTCTTCGGGCGTCCTGTAATGCAAATAAATTCCTTGTTCTGGGAAAATTTGAGGAAAGAATAGCTCAGGCTTTCATGCCAAAGTAAATGTTGTGTTTTTACCCTAAATTTGCAATGAGAACGTTTGTGCTGCTTGTAGGTGCTGCTCTCAAACCACTGAACACTGCTCTCAAAATGCAAACTTTTGATGCCATCAGGTGGGGTGGAGTGCTCACGTTTCAGGAGCATTTGTCTTTCTGAGGTCCCACCAGAAAGGGTCCTGCTTTTCAGAGCAGAAGGCACCCAATGCCTGCCCCTGCCCCAGCAGGAGGAGAGCAGAAGATCTTGAGTTTGGGCTTTTACTTATCTAGTCTTGGTAGGGGTAAGGGCAGGGGTAAACTCAGGGATTAGGAAGATGTGTGGGGGTGGCAGGGGGTTGGAACTGGATGATCTTTAAGGTCTCTTCCAACCCAAGCCATTCCATGATTCTGTGATAGAGTGACACATAACTGCTGGTAGATGGTGGAACCCTTCATGGAATTGGCAGAGCCTTTGCTAGAGGTGGGCTGTGGTGTGAAAGGTTTGCAAGTACAGCATGTAAGGCCTCAGGTGGAGATGATGGGGCAGGATCCCGCTCTCAGGTATCTAGGACCATTCGTTCCTGCATCTTCAACCAGCCTTTCCCCTTCTAATGCTGGTGGTGGAGGGCTACCAAAGGAAGACTGTGGTTTGACCCTTAGCTGCCACTGCAAGTCACCCTTTTGTTACCCTTTGTCTTTTCCCTTTGCACTGAGGAAAGAATTTATGGGTACTCATGGGCTGCAGCAGCAAGCATTGAGAAGAGAGGTCATACAGAGTTTGGAGGGTTGCTCATTAGCTTTTTTCTTCATTAATTAGTCAAAGCTAATTAGTGTCTGTCTTTGCAGAGGTTCTGATGCAAACACAAGAGGAGAGTATTTAAGTCAGGAATTTGAAAGCACCCTTGTGCTGTTAGTAGCACCAGCAGACGTCAGCCTCCCCCCTCAGACTTTCCCATGGCGGGTAAGATTTACCTGTTGCCAGACAATGCTGCTGCAATGCTCTGAAGTCAAATAACGTGTCTAAATCACCAGCCAAGCCGGACACAATAGCAGTCCCTTCTGTTTACATCTCAGAGGCAACTCCGCATCTGGAGGAAGGAGCTTGAGGCTCACTGGGGGCTCGCTTTGAACACTCCCCCCTTCTCCTCCTGCCCTTTCGCCTCCCGGGCTGACCTAGCTGTAGAAGTGTCAGCCTGGCTGGAGATCCACAACCAGCCAGACATGATGCATAGCTCCTCGGGCGCTCCGTTGTGTGCCGGTGGCTGCCGGGCTCAGGGAAGCTTTTCACTGGGTTGCAGATGAAGACGAGAGGCATTGCGCTCCCATTGCCAGCCCCCGTGCTTATTCTGGGGGGACGTGGACAGAAAATGAATTGATTTCCAGACCTGTTTTGTAGAGCAAGGCTCTGTCGTTGTTTATCAGTGTAAAAGGAAATGAGGATTTATAGCATTACCTGTTAAATTTACAGGGGAAAACAAAGATTGCTGGAGTTTAAAATTACCCTGTTGGGAATATTTTTCCGTTTTTAATTATAAATTAGTATGCAAATAGTCCAAAGTCACTTTGGCTGCTGTTGCAAACTGCAGCACATGGGAAAAACTCCCTACAATAGCTGAAGTGATGAAAGCAGCATGTAGAAAATGCTTGGTAACTGCTAAATGAGGAGGAGAAGGGGAAGAGGGCAAAGGATTGAGCTTGTTCACAACTCTGAGGTCTTACTACACAGCAGATGTCCTCTGTATTTGATTGCCTGGGCCCTTGGGGGAGTCTGCTGTTCAGCATGGACGGCATCAGTTTGCCAAACCCCCGCTGGTCTTGCCTGGGGAAGCATCGCGTGCAGCTGGAGTCCAGCCCTGGTTCACTGGTGAGGACACATCCTTCATGGGGGGCACTCAGAACTATTTCCATCCCCACACTGATTAACCTCTAGGAACCCAACCAGGGACATGCCACCTGAAGTGGAAAACAGCCCTGCGCTGCTCCGTGAGGCAGGGACATGGTGTGAACTAATGTTCTAAATACTGGTGCCAGAAAATCCTGGTTCAGGATCCCTGAGCATCCATGCACAGACCCCTGGGGGTGTTGTCACATTTCTGCTGGGAGCCAGGCCTGACTCGATGGAAATCTCCAGAAGTGATCATGGTTTAGCTCAGTGTCACTGAGATCAGAGTCAGATCATTATGTGACCCCTTTGTTTAACAGGAGGATGTAACAACCCTCCCTTCTCTTCCAGATTAATTATTGATCACAGAAAGCTTTTTTTCCCTTACACAGAGAGCGTTATATAATTACTTTTACATGCTGCTCTCCTCCATCTTGCTCTTGGTTTCTGGCCTGTTGCTGTCACAGAGGTTGTCACATCAGGAAGGTGGCTGTCTGCAGCTGAGAGAGACCATTTTAATTACTGGTTTTGTCATTTCCAATTCAAGTCAGCTTTAGCCATGCTGATAAAGGCTTCTCAGCACGTGAACTTGGAGATGGCTTCTGCTGTGCCCAGTGGGGACTCCCATCCCTTCTGTGGAGGTCCCTCTTTGTTTTGCTCCCCACTAGTGCTGCATGAAGAATGGGTATTATCCGTTTGATATGCTTGATATTAAAAATTAGCTTTGAGTCTTTAATACCCAGCACTCCTGAAACTTTCTGATGTACTCTTCACTGGCTGCCATTTGTGGTGTTTGAATTGTACCTATGAAAGGTCTTTTTGTTGGGAGCAGCCAGTTTTTAATGAGCAGAAAGTTTGGGAACGTTAGTCTGAGCACCAGGCGACCAGGAATATTACCCTTTCAGGTTCCTCTGGCTGAATGTGCGTGACAGTCTCTTAGAAACGTCCTTCAGGTTATTTAATTAATTGAATGCTGTAGTTTCATGTTGGACATTTACTGACTGGGAGGAGGATTGGACTGGGTCTGAAATGTTTGGTGTGCCGTGCTTGAAATGTGTCACATCTGCGAGTTGGTAATTGAGGTGCAGCATTGTACAGGTATCAGGAGGAAAGGTGGTAGTGGGACCACGCGTGGCTCTGTGCTAGCTGTGCTCCTGAGTGGCCTGCCCTGCAGCTGCACCGCTGGCTTACAGCTCCCTGCCCCTGCGACTGCAGCTTCGCCTTTCCTTGCATATCAGTCTGGAGGTAAGAGCTGCTAATCTCTGATCCCAGTGTAAATCTGTAGTGGTGCTCCTTTTGAAGTCAGAGGTGTTTCCTCTAGCTTTGCATCTGCACAACTGAGATCCAGATCCGGTATGAGGTGATGAGCCTTTTTTGCCCTTTTTTGTGGTTTTTGTGACTGGAGTGCTGCTACTTAGAGAACACATTCGGTTTCACCGATACCTAAATCAACACAGATGTTTTCCTGAACAGGAATTTCCATTCTGAAGCTAGCACAGTTTCCTAAATCAGATCTCTCTGAATCATTCCGAGTTTTTCTGTTTACAAGGGATTCTTGTAAAATCATAAAAAATCCCCAGCCACCCCTTCAAGAGGCTTTAATGCAGCCGCTTTGTGATATGCTGCTGAGCTTCCCCAGCTCTCCTCCTCACCCACTGCTTTGCAGGTCTTAGAACAAGAAGAGCTCTCGATTCCTATTGAAGAAGTTACTAGTAAGATTATATAGTGAGAGCTTCTCTTTATGTGTATGCTTCTCCTCTTTCTGCCCTGATGAGCTCTCGCTGCTCAGTCTGCCATGCTGGAAGGGGGCAGGCATCTCCTGGAAAACAGACATTTTGGGGCTGGGGCTGTAGATGGTGAGGTCTGGTGAAGAGGCTGCTCTGCCCTGGGCTGGCCTGGCTGCTTTCTGGCTGTGTGTTTAGTAAAGCTATTGCTAATAGCTAGTTAAATGGATAAGATCACTTGGGTAATCTAATCCCAATAGCCTTATCTCGCTGAGACTGGTTTGCAATTATAACGAAACACGTTTCAATGTAAGGTGGTTAAGCGCGTTAAACCACTCAGATGCTTTGGGCTCTAAGTGGGCATCTTCTTGAGTCAGTGTGGAAATGGTCAACGCATCCCTGCTTCTCACCCCACTCCCAGCATGTCCCCATGTGGGTAGGTTAGCCTGGAGAGGAAGCCAGCAGCACGGAAGATGACGTGGAAGTGAGTGGGAGCTGCACTGATCAAGTGAGATGTACGCACCCTGCCAGGAGGGATGGCCGGCTCACTTCTCTTAATGCCAAGTTTGACTTTGTCTATACCAAAGTAGCACTGCTATGGTTTCATCCCAAGGAAGAAGTTACAGCAGTGGTTGAGGCCTCTGGGCGTCCTCTGAGAGCAGTTGTGGAGCCGCACAGCTCCGCTCGCTGTTTCAAACATTCCCCTACAGGGACCATGGAGCTGTGGGCCCCGCATCCCCCTCCATCATCAGCATCGGTTGGCTGGCCGGGATGGTTCACAGCTTGGGCAAAAGTAGCTGATTAATCCCTTCGGCTGCTTAAGTCTAGACAGGAGCAGAAGCATTTTAGGCGTGTTGAGTTTTGGTTTGGTTTGTTTTGGGTTTGGTTTTTTTTTTTTTCCTGAGGAGTGTAAGATGAGGCTGCATTCTTTGGTGAAATTATTGCTGGCTCGCTCTGTCCAAGCAGAGCAGGACGTGAATTCCTTCCTGCAGTTAGCTGCTAGAGCCTGGGAGTCGCTTTATAAGGCTTGTGATTTCATGCCTCTTCAGCCCCACGTGGCTTTCAGAAACATGTGGCTGACACTGTTTTTCAGGGTGTGTGTGGGAGGGTTCAGTAGAGGTTTTTGCATGCTCCAGAGTTTTGTTCTATTTGTTTTTTTTTACCTTTTTGTCTTCATTTGATGCTTGCATATCAGACTGTAATAGATAAGACTCAGGAGCTCTTCACATTTGTCTTCTGAGAAGCAGACACTTCTGGGCTGCAACACCATAAACTAATAGCATAGAAGAAGGAAATCCTAGGCCAAAACCAAGGATGCAGAAATAAATGGCAATAGTCACCCTCCCAGTATGAAAGCATGTCATGCCCTTAAACATTTGTTTGACAGAGACTTCCGAAGGACATTGTTGTGTTTCAAAATAGACTAAACTGTTGGGAATGTCATTACGAAAATATCCAGAGAATCCAGTATTTTCAGCTACAAACTACTGGTTTCTGTTTCTTGAGCCAAAGAGGGATCTCTGGAAGGTCCCCAGCAGTGAAGTGGGCTCTGCTGCTGGAGGACAATGGCAACTGTAGGCATTAACCATCAGTTTGAGTGCAGGCTGCAATACGTGCATCAGACAGCTCTCAAGTGCTGTTTCAGCAGATGTGCGATGAAGGGGAACAGCGGCCAAGCTGGAGGAAGGCAGGACCAGCAGTGGCAGCCCTAAGGCACAAGTTCAGCTCCTGCATTTTCCTGGTTTCTTCCTCTCCCCACTGCTGTCCCCCTGCCATGGGTCTTGGGTGCGTAAGTGGCCTTTGTGCTTTTGAAATGATCCCTCTTAATCTTTTCCAGTGCAGATCTCCTCATTTAAAGCTCCTTATTTGAAAAGCAAATAAGGACCAAATAATGGAGGGCTTTTTTTTTTTTTACATTAAAAGAAAGGAAAGAAGCCGGCTTGTGTGCATGAAAGAAATCACAATGCAGCCTGCCTTGTGCTGTTTATACAACCTGGGTTTAGATCTAAACACTACCCAAGAAGTGTCAGTGACCATAAATGGGGAGGGCTAAGGCACAGCTGGTTTATACGGGGACGTGGAAGCAGAGATCACTGAAGCGAGTCTCATAATCCTTGAAGAATTGAATGACTAGCAGCTGCTTAAGGCGTTATTCAACATGCCTGTGAAAGTGCATTTGAAGTTGGTTACTCTTTCTGGAGACACGAGGCAGAAAATGCATAAACAACTGAGTCAGGAAGGAAATCAGGGAGCTTGTTCCCAGTCTCTGGGTCTGATTGCTGGAAAATCAAGCAAGTTTAAATGTAATTCATGGAGGGTGCCTGCCTCTCGCATGAAGCCGGTGTCGGTGCCACGTGGCAGCACCACTCAGTAGCTGTCTTTAGGAGGTCAGGTCAAATGAGTAGGAGAAATGAGGCCCTGGTTTTCCAGGGACTGAATGCATGTTTTCCTGAACACTCAGCAATCTTTAGTATGTTAATCCTCTGTGGATAGGGAGAGCTGTGCTCTGGAGGGATGGAGGCACCGAGTCCCTGCTGGTCCAGCTTCAGGCATAGCTCATGCTGCTTGGTCTGCAGAGCCTGCTGCTGGTGGGTATGTGCTTGGCTGGCCCCTGCCCAGGGAGATGT